CCCGTGGCGCAGGGCGGCAGCAGCGCGGGCAGCCCGGGCGGCGACAGCAGGCGACCCTGCTCCAGCAGCCGCAGGACGCTGCACGTGGCCGCCGTCTCCGACACCACCGAGCGCAGCTCCGAGTCCTTGCCCTGGTCCTTCTTCTGCTTGGTGCGGCGATTCTGGAACCAGACCTTCACCTGCTCGCCGGGGGCGCGAGGAGGGTGGCAGAGAGGGGCGGGAGAGACGGGCGTCAGCGACCGCGGGCTCCGGGGGTCGCCCCCGCCTCGGGCCCCACCCCGCCGCCCAGGGCGGGCCTCGGACCCGCCGGGCCCGGAGGAAGCTAGCGCCGCCACCAGGGGACCCCGCTCCGCTCGGCTGCTCTTCCGGGTGACCGCGGCCGGCCGGGCCGGCACCGGTTACCAAAACAATAAAAACCCAACGACGCCGCGCTAACGCGAGGGAGGACCAAAAGGATTTCACGGGGCCCGACCCGCAGACTGGTGAATCAGCGCCATCCCTGAGCCCCAAGTTCCCATGGAGGGGTGCTAGGCCTGGAGCAGGTTGGGCCCGAAGCCGGGCAGCAGGTGTTGGTTTTGTTTTTGTTTTGTTTTTGTTTTGTTTTTTTTTTTTTTTGCTTTCTTGGGTCCAGGCTCCTTGCTCGATGGCTCAAACTTATCCCCAGAAGTGCTGCCCCTGGTGAAGGCTGCTGGATTAGGTTAAGACCACACACACACACACACACACACACACACACGCAACAGGCAGCAAGCAGGGAAGGTGGCTGTAGCCAGACTAACTAATGCAGGATGGACTTTACAGGCCAAGCGTTGGAGAAAGCTCTCCAGCAACTGGGTAGGGGGCTTTGAGTGGTACTTTTAATTTACCGTGTCTGCTTCTTTCCATCATAAACTTTGGAATCATGGGAGGAAGACAGGGGACAGGACTAGAGGAAACACCACACTTAAACAGCCTCTTTCACTCCCCCCACCACCCCTGTGCCTCTTCTAGCCTAAGGGTAACCTAGCATGGTAGCTATGTGGCAAAAACATCCTATCTAGATTCTGGAGCACTAAGAGGTTGCTAACAGAATAAGAATTTCTACTATGCCAATTCAGACTGAAAAAGAACCTCCTGTCTATTCTGTCGTTGGTCTTCCACACAGCAGCCTAGTTTTCAGGCCTAAAATGCCCCCCACGCCCAACACACACACCTGCTTGGTGCTTAGCACTGGGAGACAGACTGGTCCTCAGTAGGAAGACTGTCTTACCTAGCCCAAGCTGGGGTGTCCTGGCTAGCCCCCAAAGGACTTCCACAGAGTCAAACTCCTAGCTCTATGGTAACTCTTGGCCTGGGTCTCATACGCTCAGCTCAAGGAGCATCATATGGATTTAACGGAAAGCACAATTGGTAGTTCTGGGTCTCAAGATCCCAGACCTTCTACTCCCAAACCTTACACCATTGGCCTAGAGAATAGGGCCTCTTAGAACCCCAGACTTGGAGGAACTCAAGGCAAGATGCCAGCCAGATATTCACAGGCAAGGTTGTCTGTGAGTTGTATACCTTCCAGATCCCACTTCCTACAGAGTGGGCCTTGCTGCCGTGGCAAACTGAGAGCCTCAAAGGGGAATGGTACTAGGAATCTGGCCAAATCGGAGTGTCCCCCCCCCCACCCAAAATCGTTGCTTTGTAGAGAAGAAACTATCCAAAAATTCTCGGGCCTGGAAAGTAATTCCAGAAAGATCAGACTTGGGGGGGGGGGTCTCCCGGGCCAGGCCAAAGAGTGCAGAGCTTAGGCTCCAATGTTGAGGAGGAAAGGGCAACTTGTGGGAAAGGGGGGACGCTTTGGACCTTTTTTATGCCCTGACTCACATCCCCCTTATCCTTTACTTCCCGTGGGAGTCTGGGTTCGATGCCAGGCTTGGCATTGCGAGAGAGAGCACAAGCCAGGTGGAGAAAGAGGATGGTACGGAACTGTGAGCAGCCCGGCTGCCTGGTACCTGGGTCTCGGAGAGGTTGAGCTGCCGGGCGAGCTCGGTCCGCTCCCGGCCCACCACGTATTGGCAGCGCTGGAACTCCATCTCCAGCCGGTACAGCTGCTCCGCAGTGAAGGACGTGCGAGTCCTCTTGGGCCGGTCCAGGTCCAAACCCTTAGGCAGGATGATCTCTCGGATGGACCCCTTAGCATCTGGGGAAAGGGAAATAAATGTCAGCCACTGGAACCCTCCCATCTCCCTTCGTGTCCTTTGCCCCAGCTGGATTTGGGTACACAGTCTCAAGCAGCCAGGGAAGGGGGTAGACAGTGGCCAAGCAAAAACAACTGTTGGGGAGAGGCAAACGGGCCTGACTTTACACCATCGACTACAGGAGACTTTGTCTTTGCAGACCTTTGGTGAGGGAAGATAGATGGACCCCCCTTACCCCCCAAAAAAAATGTCAGTTTCTTCAGGCCTGGGGAGACTCGGCTGGGAGATCTTGGTCCCTTGGAGGCTGAGCGTGCCCTTGCTGCCCATCCCTCGCCCTGCTGCTTCCAGGCTGTTGAGCACCCTGAGCCCCCTCGATCCCCGCACCCACCCCCGAGTCTCCGACCCGAGTTCGTCCGGGTGGCGCGCTAAGACGAGGGACGGAATTCCGGACGGCGGGGCCCGGCTCTCTGCTGGTGGGGGCGGCTCCGGCCAGTGCCAGGTCTCCCCGCCGCCGCTGCCGGGGCCGAGCGCGCGCGGCGCCCCTAGTAAGGCGGGTTGAGCCAAGCCAAGTCAGGCCGCTCCACAACCCGGCTCGGCCGCGTTGAGCCACAGCGGCCTGGCCTGGCGTGCAGCGCCAGGGCCCTTGGTCCTGCGCGCCCACTGACCGGGGCCGTAGCGGGTGATCGGCTGCTGCTCTCCCGCGCCCCGTGCTCCCTTGGGTGCTATAGTCCACCAGGGAGCAGGGCCCGCTGGCTGGCTCCCCGCAGGTCTTCCAGGGCTAGGACGCTCCTATACCTCCCCGGAGATCCCCTTTCCTTTCCTAGGTCGGAGGCTGCAGCTCGGCGGCCAGCCCCATCCGGCAGTCCCTCGATTTCCCCCGTAGCCGAGGGGCCCCTCGCCTCCAGGACTGGATGATCGAGGTCTCTCTGGAGAGCACGCACGGGTGAGCTCCAGCCTCAAGTCCCCCAGCGATCGCTGGGACCCGGGATGGGGGGGGGAGCAACTTTCTCCGAAGTACCAGCCAGCACCCCTCCCCGTGCGCCGGGGTTCGCGCGCGGCTCAGACCCCGGAATTCTCCCCTCCCCAAGGACGCGCCCCGCAGCCCTGCCCATCCCTACCTCGGACCAGGATCCGGCGGCAGTAATCCGGGTCGGCGGCCGAATTGGATTTACTTTTGTTACAATCTTCAGCCGCGCCAGACGCCGGAAAGGCGCCCTGCGGCTCCTTGAGGAAGGCGGCCGGGAGGCTCGCGTCCGCGCCCTTCAGCTCCCGGCTCTCCTTGTGCGCGTTCTTGGACACCCGGGCGGCCTCGGTGTCCGAGTGGCACCGGACGTCCATTTTGTCTGGTTTCCCGAACATAGGCAAAACAACACACACACCAAAAAAAAAGGGGGAGGAAAAGGGACAAAGGAGAAAGGAGAAGAAGGAGGGGGAAAAAGGAAGAAAGAGGCGAAGGGGAACAAAACCCCTCCAACGCAGCCCTGGAGCTCGATCGGGCGAGAGGCGCAAGGCAGAGCGGGGTGCCCGCGGCCAGCAGCGGGTCAGCGGCGGCGGGGCTGGTCCCGGACCCGCGGAGCGGCGGTGGGGCTGGTCTCGGATCCCGGCGGAGGCCGCCTCGTCAGCGCCGGTGTCCTCGGAGCACGTCCAGTGTCCCCAGCCCGGCGATCAGGTAGCGAACAGCGCAACTCCGAACGGCAGCGGCGCCCGCCCGCCCGCCCGCCACTGAGCCGGCGGCGCGGAGTTGTCCGACACCCGGGGGGACGCACACACTCGCCGTGGCAATTGATTACGGGTAATTTCGCGGCCCCCACGTTTCGGTTACCTCATGAATACACTAAATTGTTTGGATAATATATCAGATCGTAATGGATGGTTTCTGTCCTTGTCCCCAATCAAGTAGGGGTTTAGCCGGTGAATAAACGGAAATGATTGGTCTTGCTTTCAGGAAACACAACAATCAAAGACCTACACTTCCAGAAAAACTTTTGACAAGATTCATCCTGAATTGTTAGTACCATTAGCAGGCATTATTAACTTTCCCTGTGCCTTTGACCCTCCTGCTCACGTACTGGCTACAGAGGCTTTCTCTACCCTCGCCAGAGAGAGCTGAAAGAGGGGGGCCTGGAGGGGGGGAAGGGGGAAAGACCCCTCGCACACCCCGCAGCAGAAGAAAGCGGTTGTCTCTAGGTGGGTAGAGGGAGGAAGAAAAAGTTTCCCCCCAAAGTCTCTCCCACCCCCACCCCACACTTCAAAAAAAAAAAAAAGCAAAAAGAAAACGCCTAGCTTCTCCCCCAAGCGACAACTCCTCAGCACACCTCGACGAAGCTGAAGCTGACAGCCATCTTTAAACGGCCACCTCTCCCCATTGAGTTCCAGTTGGGTTTCTTTCGTGCCTGCACCTCTAGAAGCCCATTCAAAGGGCAGCTTTGTACTCAGAGTACAGCAGGAGAGAGGGAAAGAGTGAAAGGAGGGGGGTGGAGAGGAGGGAGAGAGAGAGAGAGAGAGAGAGAGAGAGAGAGAGAGAGAGAGAGAGAGAGAGAGCCCAAAGCAACCAGAGAAAATCTCAACTGTGAGATCTGCTTCCAAAAAAAAAAAGTTTTCTCCTAGCTATTTCATTGTCTCTGCTACAATATCTTTGAGAAAAGCCACAGCCAGTAATCCAATAAGAGCATTGATTAGGCTACAATGATTCAATTCAAGCGCCTGGCCTTGTGCAAGGAGCATGCTCCAGCCCTTCTCGTCACCTTGCCGGGCCAGAAGCCCTCTCCACGCTGCTCTCCCCATTCATTCCTTTATGGGAAATGCGGAGCAGAAAGAGTGAAAGATGGCAATTATCTAATTGGACTATTAACAAACAGTCCTCTGAGTGCGGCGGTCTGGCGTGGCTCCTGGGCGGGGGAAGGGCCGGGCCGCGCTCGCCGCCCTCATTCACAAAGAGCGCGGGGGCCGCCGGAGGAAAGGGGGTTCTTTAAGGGAGGGGGGAGGAGAGGAGAGGTGGGAGGTTTGGCTGAGAATTTTTCCACACAATTCCAAGAATGGGGAGGAGGTGGGCGGGGGAGGAGGAGTGGGGGCTGGGGGCGTGGGGGGGTGAGTGTGTGTGGCGGCCCCGAGGGGCTGCTCCGCGCCCCGCTCCCCCCCATCCACCGCCCCTCGTCCGCCCCGTCCGGGCCTCCGTCTCCGCGCTCTGCACCCCGCGCTCCTTGCCCGGGGGGGTGAACCCCCCAATCGGTCCCCGTGGGGGCCATTTGCGGCCCTGTGGGCCCACCTCGAGTTCGTCTGTTCAGTGTTGGGGGGGGTATTCCAAGCTGCCCCCCGCGGGGAGGAGGAGGGAAGTCCCCAGGACCGCCCTGTTCTGAAGATGCTGGGGGGGGGGAGGAAATTCAGACAACTTTCTGGTTACTTCCTGCACGGAGCGACCCCCAGCCACTCACCTCCAGACTCCTCCGAGGGCTTCGACCCCGTCCCCAGCGGGCCGAGCGGGCCTGGAAAGGTCGCGGGACTGTGAGAGCCAGCTGCCGGCCGGGCTGCGCCCAGCCCCTCCCGCCGCGCTGCAGGGGTCTGCGGGGCCCGGGGCCAGCGGACCTCGCCAGGTCCCGTGCTCCGAGAATGGAGCGTTCCCAGTGCCCGCTGAAGTCCCTCACCACAGCCCCGGCCCCCGGGCCACCCCCGGGGCTCCTGACCCCCAGCCTTACCGGTGCCGCCTGGTTAAAGACTTGGAAGAAAGTCTTTTAAAAATAAAGCCAGCCAACCCACTTCCTCTTTTAGGCCCTCGGTGGGGAGACCCTGCCCCTGGGTTTCCTCCCTAAGGCTGAAGTGGTATATTTTGTTGTAAGTGGGAACTCCTTATTGAACACTGATTTTCAGGGTGCATACATTCCCTTAGTCGTCTTAGTTCTTGGAGAGGTAACTACACTCAATTTTAAAGGGGGAAAGAATGGAAACTCAGCTACAACCCCTCCTTGCTTTGAGTACCTTAATGATAATTCCCGCAATCTGATTATTTAGCATCAATATTCATTGCTTTTGTCCAAACCCTCATGAATTAGTATTGGAAACACGAAGTTCTTTTTGTTTTTAATATATAATGTTTCTTCCTCCTCCTCCTCCTCCTCTTCTTCTTCTCCTCCTCCTCCTCCTCCTTTCTTTTCCTTTCTTCTCCTCCTCCTCCCCTCCCCTCCCCCTTCCCCTCCCCTCCCCTT